CGGCCGCGGGGTCCTTGCAGATCTTGTACTGCACCTCCTTGGGCACGTAGCAGAGCGCGGCGGGCAGCGCCCGGGCGCGGCGGAAGCACTCGCTGCACTGCAGCAGGAACCGCAGCCGGCCCAGCACCTGGTGCGGCGCCTCCCCGCCCGCCCGCATCGCGCACCGGGCACCGGCCGAGCCCCGCTCCGCTGCGCCCCGGGCGGACCCGACTGCGGCCGGCGCTGCTCGCCCCGGAGCGCCCGCGGGGCCGGTTCTCCTCCGGCGGTGCCGCCGCGCCCGCCTCCCTCAGGGGCCGCCCCGCCTCGGGCAGCCCTCGGTGCCCGGCCGCCGCCTCCTCCCCGGGCGGGCGCCGCTCCGCCCGTGTGCCCCGGCACGCCCCAGCCCTTCTTCATCCGTCCCGCGCCGCCATCCCCCCGTTCTCCAGCCCTGGGGCCTCCGCTATCCTCCCTTTGCCAAGTTGTGACTGCGTTACGCCCACCCCAGTCCCTCAGTCTTCGTCAGGAGCTGACTCAGGTCACAGGCATCCCCTCACCCTGAGGCTTAGGACTCTGTTTCCTCCAGGCTTTCAACATCTTCTGTCACTGCATCTCCACAAGCAAAGAAGGGGTCCCTGTGGTGTCAGGGCACATGGCTACTTCTCCAGCCTGGATAGGGAAAAGAGGGGAGCAGGTATCCTGCTAGGGGGAGAACCAGCTCCCGGGGGACATATTCCTGCCCCAGGCAGGCCGGACACCAGTTGGGATGCTCCAAACATCAGCTGGGGAGGATAAACAGCTTTACCCCAGCCAGCAGTGGCACCCTGGCAGCAGGAGCAATGCTGTGACACCCAGCAGCACCCAACCACCCCAGAACGCTGGCAGTGTGTCACCCCATGTCACACCTGCCTGTTACATACCACGGCAGGGCGGTGGCAGAGAGCAACTCAACTCCACCCCACGCTACCTTAATTTCTTCAGGTTGGGCACAAAAGGCTGCGTTTAAGGATCATGAAACAACCAGCCTGGCAGAGCTCAAAGGTCCCTGCACCCCTCTGGTGCCGGACTGCTCTCCTGGCAGGTCAGAGTCCAGTTCCATCCCTGACTGCAAAGGCACAGTGCAAACCGATCCGACAGCTGTCACCCCCGCAGCGTTATCTATTGAACAGGCGTGACTCTGCCTCAGTGCAGCATTGGGCACCCGCCTTGCCAGGAGCAAAGTGCCCTGAACCACAGTGCAAGGGAAATGCAGACTTCTGCCTTGCTCCTGCCTGCAGTTACCACAGCCGGGAAAGCCCCATGCCCTCCCCCTCTGCAGCCACATCACTCTGTAGCACTGGTTGCAGAGCTGCTGCAAAGGGTTGAGTCAATTAATAGTCTGAGTCACTTCCATGACATCACTTTGTGTGCAAAGGGGATCACAGGGCCAGTTTCCGCTTCACCTCCAGCTGCCTCTCATGACACCAGTCTCCATTGCTGTTTAGAATCACGGAATCATTTAGGTGGGAAAAACTCAACAGCTCTAAAGCTCTTTGAGTCCGACCATAAACCCAGCTCTGCCATGTTCATCACTAAACCATGTCCCTGAGTGTCACATCCACAGAAGGACACAGGAGCCCCAGCCAGACCACACCAATCACCAGAAAGGTCAGCAGCAATTAGTTTGTTAATTTTATTTTAGATCCTACATGAGGTAGGAACAGACAGAACCTCTCAAACTACTACTACTGACAAACTACATTTTGTCATACTCTGGGGTATTAGTGGAATAACAAGAACAGCTAGACTACATGGGTGTCATTAATCATCTGAAACTATTCTATGACAATCCTGATGGCATCAGGCCCTCCCCCAGCTCATCCCTACGCACCCTGCAGAGCTGCAGCTCTGGCACACAGATACTCCTCAGCAGCACAGGGGCACCGGCACCTTGCTCAGGATGGCACTGGCTTGAAAATTGATCTCCACCCACTTGAGACTGGTTGATGGGGTGAAGACTCACAGCCTCTAGTTCCTGGTGCCCAAGAGGGCTCCCTCACCCTGGGCCACATCCAGAAGAAGTCCAGGGCATGGGCACTTGACTTGTGGGAGACATTGGACATGGTGGGAGACAGTTCCTACCCACAGCTTTAGAGATTAGAGATGTGACCCAGCACTGAAATAACACCAACCTGGGGCCCCTGAGACTGGCCAGAGTTGGGCCAGGCTGACCTTTTCCACAATTCACTGGGCTGTCACAGCAGAAATTCAATTTGTGATTGTCTTTAAAACACCAGAGATGAGGGAGGACCATGCAGAGGAGATCCAGACCAGTTACCAGCTCCCCCTTCCCAGCTCACCTTTGCGCAGCAAACTCAACAGCATGATCTGTGGGTTATCCTGGCATCCTTCCTCAGCAGCCAGGTTTGTCCAAACCCTCTAAACACGTTATGAAACAACCTCACCTGAGACCTCAGTGCTGTGATGGGCTCTTCCTCTTACTGGAAGGGCTTTCACAGGTCTCCCCACCCTGGTACAACACTACAGCCAGTGCAGTTTTTCTCAGTATGCTTGTAGGGACTAAACCCAGACCATCTCATACCAACCTTTCTGCTAGGGTCAGGGTATTTTTTAAACAGAAATCCCTGTTACCAGCTAGATTCTTTCCCTAGAGCTCCAGCAAGCCCTTGGGCAGCACTCTTCTCAGTAGCAGGAAATAAGGGTACACCTCCATAATTACCTCAGTTACCCTCCATCAGCTGCAGCTGCTTCCAAGGGTAGTGGAGCCAGAGATGCCTGCTCCCCAACAGCTGGTCATCCCACACAGCCCTAGCTGGATCCTAACCTGCCCATTCCCATAGGTAACATCAGCTCACCCTTCACCAAAGACTAGGGCCTTATCCATCCTGCCTTGAGCCACTTATCAACTAACCCTACCCTGCCCAGCAATAAAGCACCAGAGAGGAGTAAATTTTTATTGCTGCTTCTAGTTCTGCTCAGAAAATAATGTGACTTCCTGGTGATCTGCCTTAGAGATAAGTGGGCAAGGCTGGAAAAAGCAGGATTGATTCCACCCAAATGTCAGTCCCTTTCAGATCTAGGATGGCTCATTTCAAGCCCCAGCTTGCTGCTGCAGTCTCCTTCCCCAACACTCCTGACTGAGGCCAAGCCAGCAGATCAAAGTCCTTTCACCAGCTTGCTCATGCCTATTTAAAACAGACACCCTAGGAAGAGACTCAGTCACGAGCACTGAAAGGTGCTGCACTGGCTCTGCTCCCGTCCATGCTGGTGGCTGGAATCAGCCACAAAGCCAGAGATATCAATTCTGAGATGAGTCTAGGACTTAAAAAAAAAAGCCCACAGGATTCACACTCACCCAGCTGAGCATGGAAGGCCCTGCTGCAGGCAAGGACTGCAGAAACAGCTTCCCCATTCACCCTGTGCTCCCTCCACTCACCACGATGCGGGAGGTGGCAGCACACGCTCCCTCCTGGTCCTACATCGCTTTCAGCACAACCCCCCTCGGCAGATCTGGGACTACAGCAATTTCAAAGGAAACTGGTGAAGGGAAGGACTTCACTTACAAATGGAAGTGACTTCTGGATGACAGACTCCTTCAAAAGATGAGAAAAAGCCATGAAGCATTAAACACAGGAATAATCTTAACTCACAGCATCAGCCCCACTCCTGTGCAGCCCCGGTGACTCTGTGGCTCTTAGCCGTGGTGGTCCAACAGACCACACAGGCTGAGGATGGAGCTGGGGGTATAAACGTGGACTAACAACTGGTAGCTCACAGTGCTAGGCATTGACTAGCCCTGAAATACACACCTCCCTTCCCTCAGCAAAGAGCAGAGCCTGGTACTGCCCCGCCGGCTAGTGCTCTAATCCCTGCCATCTGTGAGGGAGAGTTTGGCCGTGCCTGCACATCTCCATGAGAACTCGAATGGATTAGTGTTAATACTGGCTTTTAGGGGAAAAATCAAGGCTCAAAAAGCCTGGGAGGAAGAGCTGCCAAGCCACTAGCATGTTGGATGCAGAACTGAAAGTCAGAGGAAAAGGGAAATAGTTTCCACCTCCTGTGGGGGAGCAGGTCCCTCAGCAGTCACTGCTGTGCAAGGGGTGCAAAGAACCACGGGTGGTCACAGAACTTGGATTCTGTGTGATGTAACAGCACGAGAGTCCATTCGGAAGCACCCACAGTCCTGCTGTGCAGGTCTGTCATGACACCTGGTGGCCAAAGGCACCCCTGCAGCACCTGCCACCAGCCCACCCCTTTTTCTAATCACAGATGAAAGATCTCATTTCCATTGGCCATAACCACTCTGTGAGCCAAGTTTCACCTAGATGTTTATTATATATACACATCCTGGAAAAACAAGGGAGCTCTTCCCACTGCACAGTTTTTTTTGAATGACTGTCCATGCTGCTGGGTCAGGCTGCAACATCACTCCTCCCATGGACTCACATCTGTGTCAATGGCCACACAGTTATAGGCAGCATAGCGCAACTTCTCTTCACACACCTTGGCTCTAGGGATGGCAGAAGGGGACAAAAAATAAAGATGAGGAGGAGTTTCCATTGCTGCATTTGCCAGCTGGGAGGACAAGACGTTCACCAGCTGCTCACAGACAGAATCTCAACAGCCACATGGGACAGGCAGGAGACGTAAGGGTGGCCCTATGGGTCAGCACCAAGGTTTAGAAGAGAGCCCAGACACACAGTCTCCCAGACACAGGGAAGCACCAAAACTTACGTGGGATAGTTGGGCAAGAAGAGAGTGCTGGAGCAGGTGGATGACTCCGGCAAAGCATCTGTTGTCTCAGAGCTTGGGGAGATGGTGACAAACTGGTTAGTACCAGCAGGCCAGTGAGGCACTGGAGACGAGATCACACACCCCTTTGGTGTGGGATCTGTCAGCTCTGCAGCCTACAGAAGAATGGACTCACCCCATCTTGTCTGGATAGATGTAGATCCGTGCTGGAAGGCGGCTTCTGCCAGTGACAAATCTGAGGAAGCGGCTGCGATCCTCTGTGAAGGAAAAGCAAAGGTATCAGCAAACCCTAGAGGGATGTACAGCTGCTTCCAGGTATCCCCAGTGATAGCAAGCAGTTCCTTCAGCCCAGCTGCTTGCTCTCCTTGGCTCCCAGCTGTTGCCCAGACAGCAGTGAGGGTTGGTTTCACCCTCCCAATTCCCAGCCAGCACACAGGAGCTGTCATGGCATGAGATGTGCAGGGACAGAGCAAAGCGCTCACCGTTGGTGAAGTTGTTGAGTGCTTCCCAGAAGTACTGAACACGGGTGTCCTGTGGCTCAAAGTCCTCAAACCGGGCTGGCAGAAAGGATACAGAAAAGGTGTTCATTAAGATCCCAGCTCCTCCTTTTTTGCCAGCACAGGAAGAAACCTCTGGGTGCCCACAGGGGTGAGCACATAAAGCCAAGGTGCAAGGACATGCAGTCAGATCCCTGTGGATCAGCCAGATCCACACATCAGCTCCACAGGAGCTCAGATACTGGCAGTGTAGGGATGCCCCAGCTTCTATTCTGAGGCCCAGCATGGAGTCAACAGACACCCTTGCCCCCACCAGTACCCAGCTAAAGCCAGGAAGCACACAGGCCCACACTGTCACTGCAATAAAGACTAACACTGGCCTCCCACATCTCTCCTTGTCCCAGCACAGACAGAAGACAGTCTTGTTTTCAGGAAAAGAATTTTCAGCAGAGCCCTTCACTTACTGAGTTTCTTCAGGGCATCAACTGTGACTTCAGGGTCTCCACAGACCTTTTTTTCCAGTTCCTGCCACGTAAGGAGGTCAAGAACAGCTTGGGGCACCACCTTCAGCAGCCCAGCCTGCATGGCCATGATCTGAAAAGGAGACAGGGCAGGTAAGCAGCATGTCCTGCCTATTTCCCTGACTCATGGCTGAGCCTAGGGACTCTACTGGATGCAAGCCATGTGACTGCTCAGCAAATGCTCCAAGGAACCTGAAGAAGGGGACAGAACCCCAGAGGGATGCATCCCAGTTCATTTAGGAAGCCTGTGTCAGAGCTGGGAATAAAAACCCGTATCACCCACGCTGCTACAAGCCACTCTGCCCCTGAACAACTCCATCGGCTCCAGGACCTCACCAAAAGGGTTGGCTACCATTGCACTAGCGAGCACAGGGACACCAACCGTGATGCATTTTACCAGAAGCAGACTAGGGGGGTGTCTCTGGGAACTGATGATGACACCAACACTATGGGACAGCATTACCTGCTCCTTGCTCTCCTCCAGCCGCGCCTTCTGCACCAGGCGGATGAACTCCCTACGGTCCTCGTAGCGCACCACAGTGTTGCTGCCGTTGGGGATCAGCTCCACCGCGCGCTGGTCGCTCAGCACTGTCGTGTAGGTCAGCTCGTTCCCAAATTTGAACTCAAAGGTGTCTTTGTCCATGACTTCCATCATCTCTAGGAGCTTCACCTGCCCAAGCCCCAAATAAGTGCTTGTCAGAGAGATGCCCAGGTCCCCATCTCCCCCCTTCCCAGAAAAGTGACAGTGACACAGCATGGGATACGCTGCCCTAGACCCTGGGCCACTGCATGCTTAAAGCAGCAGTCAGCATCTCTATAGGCTGCATCTCTATATGAGCATTAGATGCACCCTATAGCTAAAGAGTTGCCCTTTGCTGTGTGTGTTTCTTTGACAAATCACAGGAGGGAGCAAGCACATAAGGACAGGGACACAAATCAGCACACTGCTGAGTGCTACAAGGAATAGGATAGGAACTGGGAGGCTGTGCCTCTCACCAACATAGAGTCCACAGCAGGGAAGTCTTTGCTCCAGCTGACCTCCTCCCCTGTTAACTGTTTCCATACAAAACCAGGAAGAGCCAGGACCTGAAGGAGAAGAGAGATTTTGCTGAGTCTGTGTGAAAATGAGACATCCCCAAAGAAGGACATAGGACAAAAATGAGACACAAAGCAGCTTCCCTGTTCCCCCTGTCCACATGCAGAGTTCATCATAGCTAAGCAGAGTCACTGTCTCCCAAGCTCTCAGCAGCATCCCCCAAATCCCTCAGCCCTAAACCCTGCCAAACACCTTTTGTCCCAGAGTCTGACACAGCTTTTCCATGCTCCTGTCAGACAGGCTGCAGGAAGGGGCTAACAACTCCTTTTGCGGCAAATCTCCTCGCAGGGATGGTGTTGAAAGCTTACCAGAAACTCCTTGCCCCTCAGAGCTGCTCCCATGATCTGCCCAATCCACTCATACTTTGGGAAGTCTTTACAGGAGGGGTTAGGGACATACATGTCCCTGGCTTCTCCAGTGCCGTTACCCTACAGATGTGGGAGGCAAAACTCCAAGTCATGATTTGAGCACAGCATGAAACACCACAGACCATTCCTGCCGTGCCTTTGGGTACTTCTCACAGCAGAAGCAGGCTAACTCCCCATCCTCCTTGACAACATTCCCAGTGAGAGACCAGTCAGTATCCAGGCACTTGTTGGCATATTCTAAAAGGAGATGCCACAAAACAATTTACCCAACCCTTCACAAAGAAAAGCTTGTGACCAGCAGAAGCAGGTATGGAAGCAGGTATGTCCCTGGCATGCAAGGGGACAGGGACAACACTGCACTACCCGGCCCAGAAGGGTCTGTCCCAAATATCCCAACCCATGGCACCTGGTTGGACGTGCGCACAAAGAAGGGCAAAGGCACAGGGGTGTCCGTCGAGCTGGGGCACAGTTCCTCCGACATGTCCGCCAGGCTGTCTCGAAAACCACCACCTGCAACCCCAAGAGAAGGATATTTTTAGTGATGTGAACTCCCCATATGCTGACTCTCAGTTATGGAGCAAAGATGAAGAATCCTTCCTGGTCCAACCTGGTCCTGGGTTTAGCAGAAGGCTCCTGCCAGAGCCTTATGGAACCGGAGGAAATAAAACAGGAGAAATAACATCCCTGCCTGGCGTGGGGAGGACAGTCAGAAGGAGCATTGGCACTGGTAAAGCTGCTGTTAGTGACTAATGGAGGTCTGATCCCCATTCCAGCAAGCAGCAACTAGGATATGGCTGAGAGCAGCTTGACAAGGCAACCTGCCTTCCCTCTCTGCTCCATGGGCAGTAACACTGGGAACAAACAGAAGCCCCTAGAGAACAGCCAGCCCATCAACCCCTGCCTGCTCCAAAGTTGCCCCGTGCAGTCCCTACCTTGGTCGATGATGCCCTCTGCGATGAACTTGCACTCCCACCACTGGTCGTACCGCAACGGCCACCTGCAGAGAGCCAGCATCGCCTGAGCTGCTACTCAGAGCCAAGGAGGTGCTGGGGAAGCAGCAGGCACAGCAGAAACACCAGGGGACTAGGGTGGAGCAGCCTGGGTTTAGGATAGTACAAGATCTCAATCTCCAGAGACAGCTGTATCCTAAGTAGGGAGGTGACACCCTGGGGAATAGGCCCTCATCCCATGGCTGAGCTGGGTCCTGTCCTAGCAAAACCTCTCCAAAGCACAGGACACACAAAGGCTCCCCAAACACCCTGCTGTGACAGAGGACACAGCTCCCAGCACTGCATGATGCCCCCTCTCACCCAGACACCACTTACCTATAATCTAGAGGCTTTTCAAACTTGTCTGAGGGTTTCAGGCCTTCATATACCTGCAGCAAGCAGAGGATCAAGGCTGGTATCCCTTCTCCAGAGGAACTGATGCCAGGTGGAGGCAGGAAATTGGAAGAAGTCTGGTTTGCCCAAAACCATCAAATACTGACTGAAGCTGGTCTCTAAATGGTCTAGAAACCCTTCATTTTTGGAAAGGGAGCACAAATTACAGTGCCCCACTGTATGGAGCTTTAGGCCTCAGAGGTGCATAGAACACATTAAATTTCACAGCAGTCTGGGCTGTTTGTGCACACACAGAGCACTGGATCCTTTGGAGGCGGGGGGAGAATGAGCACAGGAAGATCAGCACTGCTGTAAAACCATGACACGGGACTGTATGCAGCTGCACAACTGTTGTCACATAAGAATTCTTTGCTGCCCTTTTAGTGTAATAAGACTGTTACATGCTGCATTAACAACATGCCACAGAGAGCATCCAGGACAGTAGAGATTTCAACTCAGAGATCCCAAATACCTCCTAGATGTTATTCCTGGATATGGGATCATCAGCACATGTAATTATAGAGCCTAAGAGTCACGTGAAGAGGCCTTGAGGGTTCTAGGTATCTCCAGCTCCAAGCTGCCCCTTCCACCCACCTTTATGTGGATCATTTTCCTTCTGGGATGCCCCACTCTCCCCAGAGCAGCAGGGACCCTTCCAGGAGGGACAGTACCTGGGTGAAGACAGCGTTCTTGCAGCTGGGGTCCAGGGCAGGGTTGTCTCGGTGCTCCATAGCCAGGCGTCGGTTAATGTAGAGCCGAGGCATGAAATTGGGCTTGCTGGTCTCCGAGTCCTTCAGGCACTGCGTGATGAGGGCTGTGCGCTTCTTGGACAGCAGCAGGAACTGCTTGATGTGCTGCCAACAGATATGTACAAAACATGTCACCTACTTCCTACTGTAGACACCACACCTCCGGGTCTCTCCCTTTCCCAGGGCTGCTGCATTCCCACCCAGACACATTCTCCTTGGCAGTATTCGCTCCCCCTCTGCCTCTGAAAGATTCTGCATTCTGGCTTTAGGGAGACATCAAGCTCAGTCCTCAATCCGTCAGCTGTCATCTGATGCTCAGCCCCCAGTATTGCATAGACTCTCTTTTACCTTCACTCCCACCAGAAAATTGGTCTTACTACCCCTCCTATTTGTAATCAAAGCCAGCTCCTCTAAGCAAACAAGAATCCTCAAATGGTTTGGGTTCTATGTTGAGTTGGCCTGGAAACACACAGAATGGAGCTATCCCAGTAATGTCCAGCATATGTATTCTTGGAGAGAATGTAAGGAAAACAGACAATTGGAGGGACAAACTCAGCATTATGAGAAAGATGGAAAGCAAAAGCTTATTAAAGCCAGAAATGAGTTACTGGTAAAAGCCTTGCAGTTTGGACACAGCCAACTCAAAGCTGCTGGCAGAAAGTGCAGGAACAGAGTGTCCTGGGCTGAGATCTTGTAGGGGAGATTTGTCCAGCTCACGTGCCCAGGGCTGCTAAGGTCCAAGTGTTTTGGAGGGTGAAATGTTCTGGTTTGATTCTTCTTGTTACCCCGTAGCTACATGCGTCCACATCCCCGGTTTAGCAGCAAAACTGACCTCTAAACAGTATCACTTTTCACAGCATTAATGAACTGAGCTCAGCCAGGTATTCCCCTTGAGCTGCTTTACAGGCAACAAGCACTGGCTGCCTCCCTTGACACAGCCCAAGCACAGCCACCCTGCCAGACTGAGGCCCCAGCAAGACACCCTGCTCACCTTGAGTTTGCTGAACGTGCCAACAGTGTGGTCCCAAGCTGGCACCAAGTGATGCAGGACACTGTCCAGGAGCTTGATGAACCTAAATCCCAAAGAAGGTATTGCAACACAGGAGGAACAGGGATCTGCACAAGTCTATTCCAGACCAGGCAGCCCCTGGGCACAAGCAGAAAAATAACAACTCATCCAAACCAAACCCAGTGTAGTTTTTTACATCACACAGCCTTTGGTACTAAATTTCCACTCCCTGGGCACTGCAGTGAATCTTGCACCCCCTTACAAGGGACTCTGCATGTACATGCCCCTACACTGCACAGATGTGCTGTGCTTGCAACACACAAGGCACTCACTGAACTTGAGCTGCAAAACTCCTCTGAAAGCGTAGGGGAGCTACCCCAGAGAGCCCTCTTTGCTCCCAAATGATTCTGCTATTTTCTCCAGCGTCCAGAATGTCTGTCCCAAAGGGAACCACACAACTTCACAGCATCCAGCCACGTGCATGCTGGAGATGGCACCAACCCCTGCAGGCAATTCCACCCCACCTGTCTGCTGCCCTCCACACAGTACCTTTGAATGAGCACAGCCCGCCGGTACAGCAGGTCAGGGTCAGTCCCTTCCAGGCGAGGGTAGCGCACCAAATTGGGCAGCTGGAACATGTCAGCACTGAGCCCCAAGTCCCTCTGCCGGGAGGATTTGATTTTGATGCCTCGGATACGAACGTCAATCCCATCATCTGCCAAGGAAGACCATGGATGATATGACCAAGAGAAAATAAGCCTTTCAGCACGGCAGGCCTACAGACAGAAGCATTAGGAATGTGACCAGCTCCACCAGCTCTGGGGCTGGGCACGGAAAGCCTGAAATTTCTCTGTAAAGAAGTGAGGCATTTACAGGAAAATAAAAAAACTAAATAATTGAAGGCAGAGAAAGGATGAAAGCTGAGAACTTCCAAAAGATCAGATCTCCCTGGAGTTTCCCTTGGTTCTTTTGCATCTCATCAGAAATGTCTCACAATGACAAGAAGTCACAGAACAAACTCTTTAACTACAGTATCACACAGGTGCATTATGGATGTGGCCACTGCAGCCAGCCCTACCTCTGCACTCCACAATCCGGATCTCGATGACAGGCAGGTGTGTTGTCATGTCCTCAAGGATGCACACATCCCCAATGTAGCTGCTGCAAACACAGCACAGATGAAGGCTGAAAGGCTGTTCTCTCGCCCATCCTGTCAAAATCCACTTGGGTGCTTGTAAGGGAAGAGGGTTTCCATCTTTTGAAATGGGAGCCTGTGGCAGGAACCCAGACCCAGTTGCCTACAATACAGCTGAATGCCTGAACCTGCTGGTGACACAGGTCCAGGTGACATGATTCTGATGTGCCCCACAATTAAATCGGGAGAGCACTGAAGACTGTGCTGTCTGCTGTTGTAGGCAGAGCGAACCCACAGCTCAGAGAGCCTGGCTGGGGCCGCATGGCTGCTTAGGGTTGGAGTGTTCAGCACCTCCAGCCCCTGCAAGGGCCGCGCTAACCTGTGTACCTCCATCCACTCACTCCTCAATGCAGACGTCGTTCAGTTTCTTCAGATTGTCTCCCTCGCCCCCGTACACAGCGACCCGCTGGGGTGTGAAGTTCTCATCGTTGGAATCCACTGTCAGCAGCAGCTTCCTGCGAAGGGAAGCAGGACATGAGGAGGAGTCAACCGCATCTGAACACCCATTGCTGTTCCCCTTCATTGCCTGGCCACACTGTTACCAAGTACATGCAGCTGGTGCTCTGATCCCCAGGTACTTGCGACAATGCCAAGACCCCTTCAAACCCAGAGCCAGGGTAAAGGCTGAGGGACTGGGAGTGCATGGCATATTTGGGCCACGACAGACTCAGTCAGAGAGAGGGAATCACAGAACTTGCCCCAGTCACAAGCCAGTGTGCAGAGCAGAGATGACTCACTTGACAATGGTGCCTTTCTTCATGTTGAGCCGCACCCAGTGCTGGCCCTGGGACCCATCACTCTCCCAGTACGTGTCAGCGCGGCTGTCGGTCAAGCATGACACATTGAAGTCCTCCTGGAAGAGGGCAGTGAATGAAAGGAAGATCAGATGGGCGTGGGATTAACTTCCCTTTAGCAGTTACTTTTGTCATGAATCTTAGTGCTGGGGGCATCACACTGGCCTGTTCCCTTAGCCTGGCTGTGGGTAGACAAAGGGAGTACACAGGACACTGGCACTGGACCTCTGAAGTGCTCTGGGGTCTCACACACACAGCACAAAATAACAATCTCTCCCTAAAATCAGCTTAGCAACTAATATTAGCATTGGCTTCTCAAACCACTGTCCCTCCAGGGGCACATTACACAACATGCTGCATGATGCTCTCCAGGCTTCTCCGCCACATCCTCAAACATAGCCCAGTCCAGAGCAGCACAGCAAGCTCCACGCTCCACAGCCCCATGGCACAGCTGGGCCAGTGCAGCCTTGTCCCTTTAACCCACCGTGTAGGACGAGACATCGATGCTGTCCACGTACTGCTTAACGCTGCCCAAGTTCTCATCTTCCTTCCCAATGTGGTCATACAGGAAATGCACTAGGTCTTCATCACATTCGTAAGTCCACGTTGGGGGCACAAACCTACCAGGGAGAAAGGATTACTGGGTCTGCAGAGCCAGAGGAAGCCAGGCTTATGGGTCAAAAAAGGGAGGTCTGCATCCCACTTGCCTTGTCTTGCCCCATTTCCTGCCTTTTGCAGGCTTATCTAGGACAGGACTGTGATGCACAGAGCTGTTCTCCACTGCCTGTCTTCCTCCCTTTCCCCCCAACCCCGTCTGCAGGAGACAGCTGTCTGAGCAGCCAGGGAGAGACAGCACCTTGTGCCCCGGCAAGCAGAAGTTGAGAAACGGTTCATACCGAAGCTTCTCTACTGCAGCCTCATCCTGCTCCATGGGCCTGGGCTTTGCTCCGAGGCGCAGGGAGTACGTCAGATCCACCACCTGCTCCCATCTGAAACAGCACAGAGAAGTGGAGGGAGTGAGAAAATTCCAAGAGGAAAAAGGGAGTAGCTTTAGGGGGAAGGTTAGGGTTTAAAGCCCCACCGTGCTCCATCACCTCCAGCCTCAACTGTCACACTTTTCTTTCCATCCTTCCACACCCAGCTGGGCAGGTGACAAGCACAGTGCCCTAGCCAAACCCAGTTCACTCCACATCCGGCATCCTTCTTGCCTCATTTCCATGGAACATGTCCAAACGGACTGGGGCTCCCCAGCCCAGAGCAGGAAGGGCCGAGGGGCAGCGTCCCGAGCCCCTAGACAGCTGGTCCCGGGTGAGCACCTCCCTCTTCCCGGGGACCCAGCGGGGCATCGTGGCGGCCCCGCACCTGATGACGGGTTTGTAGTCAACCCCGAAGAGCTGCTGCTGCCGCTGGATCCGCTCCGTGGACTCCACGGGCACCAGCCGGTCCCCGCCGTCGGCGTGTTTGCACACCAGCACCCAGCCCTCCTCTAGATCGCAGCCGCTCCGGTACTCCTCCAGCTGCTCCTGCGGGGACAGCGGGCGGTCAGACGGGGCCGGGCCGGGCCGGGCCAGGCCCTCCGCGGGCTGCCGCCCCCGCGTTACCTTGCTGAGCTTGACCCAGAGCCCGGCGCCGTTGCAGTACTCCTCGCCGGTGGCGCGGAGGCAGCCGCCCTTCCGCACCTCGATGGTGGCCCGCGCCGCCCGCTTCCCGCCCCGCGCCGGCCCCGGGCTGTCCCACACGCTCAGGAGGCTGCGGGCGGCGGCGGCGGCGGCGGCGGCCGCGGGGTCCTTGCAGATCTTGTACTGCACCTCCTTGGGCACGTAGCAGAGCGCGGCGGGCAGCGCCCGGGCGCGGCGGAAGCACTCGCTGCACTGCAGCAGGAACCGCAGCCGGCCCAGCACCTGGTGCGGCGCCTCCCCGCCCGCCCGCATCGCGCACCGGGCACCGGCC